ACTTTATGATTGAGATTTTTTTTAACTTTCTACCATTATCTACTTTTATTCTAAGCGGTTCAAATGACAAATGCAAAATATGTGCGGACGTACGACAGTGCCATTTCAGCGGTCTTCCGTGTTTTTTAAACAAGCTTCCCATATAGATGATAAAAATGAGCGAAAAATGAAAAAAATAATTAATTTTTTTTTCTTCAATTCTCAAATACTACTCAATTTTCTATATCACCTGGTGAAATCAGAATGAAAAAAATCGCATTCCATATCATCTAAATCACGATCTGGACTTTTTTCACTGTTTGAGTGCTCTATACCGAGTCTCCGAGAGTTTCATATAAACTTGCTATGTGATGCCTATTGAATAGTGAGCGAATACCAATCGTGATGGAATCAATAGGCGTCATTTGACTATTGCAAGGCGAGTTTATATGAAGCTCTCGGAGACTCGGTATAGAGCACAAAAAGTGAAAAAAAAAAATCTGATTTTTTTTCTCAATTCTCGAACACCACAAAATGGCCTATATCATGTGATGTGATCAGAACATAAAAATGTTTCATCTTTCTCACCCAAATCGTTCTCCAATGCTATCCCGCTCCTCCTTGTATGTATGAATGTTTACAACGGACATTCTATTCACACACAACTACGCAATAAAAATCGCTGGTACAAGCCATTTGATTGCATATGAAATTTGAGAATAAGAAGTTTTTTTTTCACTTTTTGTGTGTTCTATACCGAGCCTTCGAGAGTGTGAAATATTTATATCGTTAAACTGCGTCGCATATCAAAGCGAAACAAAATTCTGTTACTAAAACAAGGCAGAACAGTAGCTAGTTATCAGCACAAAATGAAACTTACATATTTCGCGTAATAAAAAGCCAATGTTCTCTATTCCTATGATAACTAAATATTGTCTCGTTTCGATATGCGAGTAAACAATAAGTTGTTTTTATTCTAGAGCGTTCATTTCATTACTGGAGCCAATATCAACACTATTAAAGGAATCACTTGAAACTGCCACTGTGCTGCGGTACCTATGGAGAACGTCCTTTGTCAGACCAGTTTACAAGAACGGCGATAGAAACAACGTTCAAAATTATCGCGGTGTTGCTTTACAGTGTCGAATTACGTCGAAAATTCTCGATTCGATCGTCACAGACCATCTCAATCTATATTTGAAGAACATAGTACACGAAAGTCAGCATGGATTCATCAAGAACTGGTCAACGATAACAAATTTAGTAGAATTTACTTCAAAAACGATTATTAACATGGGAAGAAGACATCAAACAGACGCCATCTATTTAGACATAGCCAAGGCCTTTGACTCGGTTAACTTAAATTTACTTATTCAAAAACTTGAAATCATGGGATTGAATGAGCAGCTGTTAAAATGGATCAAATCTTACTTGTCTGGTCGCAGACAAATTGTAAAGATTGCAGATATCAGATCCGACCCAATCGAAGTTACTTCTGGGACGGGTCAAGGATATCCCATTGGCGCTACTTTGTTCATCATGTTTATAATTGATCTTCCTTTCGTCGTGACCAATTCTAGCATACTTTCTTTCGCCGATTATACAAAAATTTCAAAATGTATCACCTCAACAGATGACTGCATTAATCTTCAAAATGACTTGGATCGTGTAGCGGATTATTATAGACGCAATTTATTAAAATTAAATGTAAACAAAACAAAGATCATATCATATCATCGGGGAACACTGCAATATGAATACAAATACAACATAGGCGGCATTCAAATTGAAAGAGTCTTTATAATAAGGGACTTGGGAGTGTTGCTTGATGTGCAAATGAATTTCAAATCACACATTGACCATGTCACGGCTAAAGCCAAATCAAGACTGGCTTGGTTAAAGATCTACGGCAAGGATTTCGTCGATCCATGGACAATTAAACGCCTTTATTTTACATTTGTATTACCAATCATCGAATATGGATCGGAAATATGGAATCCACACTACGACAATATGTGCAAAAGAATAGAGTCAATACAAAAACAATTTTTACTTTATGCCCGAAGGAAAATGAACTGGGATGGCTATAGACTTCCAAAATATGAGCATAGACTGCTGTTTCTACAAATGATTACACTGGAGGAAAGACGCAAGATGGCGCAAGTGTCTTTCATCTTCAAAATTAGTAATGGAGATATGAAGTCAGCTCATATATCAAACAGTTTAAATTATTATAATTCAGCGCATAATACCCGTGCAATACCGCTTTTTAATATTCCAGTTGGGGGAAACAATTACACAAAATATGAACCAATTAATTATATGCTTTTTACATTCAATGATTATTATACAAAGAAACAAATAAAATAACAAATTGTGATACTAATTTGATTGATTTAGAAGTAATTGATTTATATAGAGAAATATTTGAAAGAAAATAGATGAATTGTAAGCATGAATGAAATATTTTTATAATAATTATTATTTATCTCTTTCAAAACTGCTTGATGCAAAAATTTAATTATATTGTATTTATTTAAATTATTTTGAATAAACCACCAAGGCGAAGGAACGCTGTTCGGTGCAGTTATTATTATTATTAGTTCCATTCGGGAGCTCTAATTTCTGAGTCGGTGAATGGATTGGGCTCAAATTTCGTCAGTAGTCCTTTGAAGGATGGTACTTTCGAAAAATAGAAAGAAATTCTTTCTAGTTCTAGTCGCGCTATCTATAAGCCAGGTCTAAGACTTATTGAACCATGTGTTCAAAAAAAAAAGAAATGAAAAAAGACTATAATCATAATCAACTCCATTTCAAAACTACAAAATCTCCAATAAAGTTTTTTTCAGTCGAACATAGTCAAAGTTTATGCATATTTTTCCATAAGATTTGTTTTTTTGTTAATAAGCGCGATTGTAAGAAATTTTTCGAATCTCGGACGGTTCGAGTTCGGTCCGATGAAAACCAACACAAACTCGAACGAATTCGAATTTTAATTTTTTAGTTTCGGAAAGACATAAACGATCTCGGACGTGTCCGTTGACAACAGTATTCTAAACTACTGTTTTTAGTTATTTGTTATATTATAACAATTAATATATTGATATTTAATGTTATAACTTACCCGATTTGTTCAGGATGTCTTTCAATTTTAATGTTATCGATGGCATATTTACCTAGAGAAGCCAGAAAAAAGAAAAATATAAATAATAATATTTTTTGATTATAATAATATAAGAAATTATGCATATTTACCATCAAGAGCCACATGAGTTTGAGTAACATGTTGTGGTGTAATGATATCCTCATTTTGTGAGATATTCATGTTATTTGAATCAGTTGAAATTGCCATTCGATTCGAATCGATTCGTTCGTCACGAGTTACATCAATAGGCAATGAATCATCTCCTAATGATTTCATTTCATCTACAGTTAAATACCTATACGGATGATCTGTATTTACATCATCTCCACCTTCTTCCTCTGAATCAGACATAAATGTTTCGTGCATAGCTTCCGGGGCAACAACACGATATTTTTCGCCTTCATTTGTCGAAGTTTGCATTTGATCCTTTGCGGATTGTGTCACATTCTTGAGCGATTCAACGACACTGATGTAACCCAACTTTTGCGAAATATTCAATGGTGTTTGCCCTTGCTGTGAAAGAAATATCACAAATCATGATTGTTTACTAATTCACTTTAAATTTGAGAACAATAAAATATCTTATTTAACATTTCAATGTGACTTACCAGTGTGAGTGCATCCGGATTTGCTTTATGTTCTAGTAAAATATTCACAATATGCAAGTGACCCTGTTGGGCTGCTTGGTGCAGCGGGGTCATTGAGAATGCACTATCTGCATTAACATTTGCTCCATTTTCTAATAAAAATCTTACCATATTTAATTGGCCAAAGTGCGAAGCGATATGCAATGCTGTATTTGCATTTTTTGTTTTTGCATTTACGTTGGCACCTTTTTCAATAAGAATTTTGGCAACATTTGTGCGATCCTCTTGTGCACACAAATGTAATGGTGTTAAACCGTTCTTAGCCTGATGATTTGAATTAGCTTTGTGTTCGAGCAGAAGATTTGACATCTCAACGTGACCTTCTTGGCTACTCAAATGTAATGGAGTAAAACCAGCACGGCTTTCGCTTTCAGCCTGAGCACCATATTCTAATAGAGTCGTTGCAATATCCATTTGATTTTTACGTGCAGAAATGTGAAGAGCGGTATGACCATTTTTGGCGACAGCCACTGGACTTGCACCTTTGTTTAACAAAAGCAATGCAACATTTTGATGATCGTAGTGAGCAGAGACATGTAATGGAGTCACCTGTAATCAAATTTATGATAAATATGATTGTTCATGCATTAAAATTATTTTTTTTAAAGAACATGAATGTCTTACTCCGTTCTTTCCTTGTGCATCAACCGGAGCCCCTTTTTGCAATAGGAGCTCAGCCACTTTAATTTGTCCATATTTTGCAGCTAAATGTAACGGTTGGAAACCTTTTTTGGTGCTAGCTTCAAGCGAAGCTCCATTATCGATCAGAACGGCTGCGACCTGTAAAATATGTTAATAACGGTTTGGGGTTAATTTGTAAAACGAGCCAATAGCCCATTACATATTTTGTTATGGGATTCACAATCAAATAATTTAAGTTTTTTGAATTAAA